GGGGACAATGTAAATACAAATTAATTTGGAGCAGTCTTTATCAGTATAATGCAATTAGCTGAAACCTTGAGCAATTACCATGGAGGGACCCGGGAGAAATCCCAGAGCGGCCGGAAAGACTGTACACCCAGGGTACCTTAGCCAACGGGGAAACGGGGAAGGACCTTACTTCTGACTAACCCAGAGAGGGATTTGTGGTGCTTGTTTCACACAGTACAGTATTTGCTGCCAAAGAAAACCCTCCCTCTGAAGGAGAGAAACACCGTCTGACACCCTTCCTCCCCGAAGCCTGGAGACTTCCTTAACTTGTAATCAAATTATATCTGCTATAATAAACAGGGAGCCTTATTAAATATAAGAGACCAATAATATTATACAAGTTAATTTTATTTGCGGGTAAATGAAATGAACCTTGTCTTGGTCCCCTTATTAGTCCCTGGAGTGCAACTCCTGGCACACCATCCCTAAGGCGGGATGTGGCCCTCAATCTGAAAGAAGGGGGGCACTCTGGGGGGGGGGCGACTTTCCCAAAATAAGGCTCTCCCTCCAGGTGCCCTTCACATTTTAGTGACAAGGCACCAGGTCCTTCCTTTCCACCTGAGGGTCCCCTTCTCCATCTCTCCCCCTCATCTCCCCCCAACTAGTTCTAAGTGGGATGGAGGGGGATGGGAAGAGCCGTCATCACCTGAGCGGGTGGGGATGCGTGATCGGTGGTCCAGCTAGGCAACACAGAAGCCTCCTGCTGCTCCCTCTGCGATTTCCCGGCTCAAGCCCCCCTCAGTGGCAGGAAGAGGCATCGGGATCCGCAGTCCCACGTCCCAGGGCTTGGCTTGGTGGCCTTGTTTTCCTAACCACCACATGCTTCTTAGGCAGCCCTGAGACAACTGGCTGGAGCAGCAAGTTTTCTCTCTGCCCTTCGACAAGGTGAGGTTCCAATCCTGCACTCAGCCAAGCATGGAACATGGGGGGGGGGAGCACATTGGGGCAGCCATTCCTGAGTAGCCATGGCCAAGCTGTGAGAGGAAGAAAGAACAGGTGGGTCTCTTAAACTGTGCACTTGCACCAACATCAAGAGTGCTGCCCCCAGGAATATCTGGGGCCCTTCTTCCTTGACAGGTGGGGGGGCACCTTTCTTTCCAAGCCCAGCAGCCACTTACAGGCAATGTTTCCAGACACACTTAATCCAATCAACCCATTTTCTGGGTTTGTATAATACATATGAATGCCAACCAGATGGATAGGGTTCACTCCACACACTGAATTACCAAGCAAGAAACTAAAAACCCAGGTTATTCAAGAGGGTGTAAATACATCTGCTAAGACTTGAGCTGATCTGGGTAATCATGTTGGGGGAGCACAACCACACAACCACAGACTCACCGCTGCTGGCTCCAGTGACAATGGCTGTTTTGCCACTCAGGTCTACAGGACAAGCTTCAGGTCTCCAGGTGTGTCTTCTTCTTCTTGCCCAGAGCATCCCCAAGAGGGCTAAGGAACAGATGAACCAGAAGGGGTGAAAAAAGAGGGTGCCCACCTCCATTGCAGGCAGTCTTTCTAGGAGCAGCCCTGGAAGATGTGGTGCCGATTCAGAGTTCCTGCCTGGTGGGTGGTGACAGACACCCGGATCTCTTGCCTTTGGAAACAGAGGAGGTCACCAATGGGGCAACTACTGATCTCTGGGCAGAGTTCACTTTTGATGAACTATCTGCCCATTTCTTGGACAGAAGCCATGCAGAGGAACCTTTGGAAGGTCGATGGGACACTGACAGTAGAAGCCAGCAAAGAGGAGAGAAGGTGGCAGAGTTTTGACAAGAAACCTGCCGCCACTGGCTCATGGTTAAAATATGTTGTAGACACACCTTCCAAGGAGACGGGTTACATTGCTAGCACCTTCAGCCAGCACAGGCAGCATTTCTCAGTTTTGCTGTGAAGCACTGCTAGATGGTGGTTAGAAAAGCTTCTGGGAGGAAGGGCAAGTTAGGGGCAGAGAAGCAGAGAGCCTCAGAGAGACTCCTGTGTAAAATCAGGGCTGGGCAACCTTCAGGCTGTGTCCTCCCAGCCTACATGATGGTCCTACAACGTCACTCCACCAACACTCCTGCTAGGCTGAATGCATTTAGTGATTTTAGGGAGTAAAAAGGAAATGTTGGGTCTGTTCCAGACTTTTTTAACAGACAAAACGTAGCCTCTGGTGAAAACCGTGGCCCACCCTTATGGGAGGGATCAATATGGTGATGAGTACACACCTGTTTGTGAGCACTCCTAAAAAATAGATTTTTAATCTTCTCTTTGTTTCTATTTTTGGAAGTCATATGTTGAGGTTTTAGAAGAAGGTTTTGATCTTATTTGTGTTAACTTTTCTGATTTATGTTTTGAGGTTTAGAAGGAGGTTTTGATCTTCTTATTTGTTAACTTTTCTAATTTATGTTTTGGCTGTTAACAATATATGAGATTTTCAGTTTTTATAAGCCCTATAGAAGAAGATGGCAAAGTGAGTAACAATCCCATGTAGAATAACAAGAAGAAGCTAAGATTAGAAAGAAAAGCAAACCGAAGAAACACTGCAGGAAGAGTTCTGAGTCACAGTGGATCCTCAGAAACCTTCAACAACTTAAAAGAGAGGACTTACTGCACTTGGAAGATTTTGCAATTCACCAGCATGTCCTGGTGCCCACTTGCCTTGCTCAGACATAAAGTCCTGGATCTTGTGGCTAAAAACTGTTTATTAACAGTGCAAATTGTTATTTCAGTGTATGATCAAACAGCGGCTGTTAATAATAAAATAGGGGAGCTGAAAAGTCTCCTTGGTAATTTAAGATAATCTGAACAAATTTCAAGGTCTGAGCCTGTGGAGAAACAGAAAGTAAATTATACACAAGCATCTACAGATGCAAGGGAGGAGGAGCTGGCCCAAGGCTGAGCACACAGTGGGGTGATTTGTGGCAACTCCCATGTTTCACAAACCAACAGAGGAATTCATCCATTTATTTATAGCCACCCATTTACCAGAAGGAACTCTGGGTGGCAAACAGAGCAAAAACACAATACAGCACACTAAAAGGGCCATTTAAAAGAATACACGGTGTTGAGACTCCCATGAAGCCTGCACTCGTCCACCAACCGCCCCGTGCCAGCTCTAGCAGCCCCCTGGCCCCGGGGCCTGGGGGAAGAGCCAGGTCTCCTCTGCTTTCCTGGAGGCCAGCAGGATCGGGGCCCTCCGTTTTGCCAGGGAGAGGCCGTTTCACAAGATAGGCACTGTGAGAGATGGATAAAATATGTTATTATTGACAAAGAAATAGTAACTTGAGCATGCTA